CCTAAGGCAACCGCCTAATTTGCCTAATTAGAGAGCCGCCTCTGCCACCACTTTTACGAGTAGGACACAAAAAAAAGCTCAGCTGTGGGGGCGGTTGCTGATGGTGGCCATGCACCATTCAAGGCAGCTCAGATTTTCTCCTAGAGTCAAGGAATAAGGACTTATCTCCCTGCTGGGGATTTACGTGCAATTTTTTTTTTTTATCCCTAGTAGGATATTATTTTTTTCTTCACTTTTAATTGGCCTTCAATCTGGTTGACAGTTTAGATAATATAGATCCTTGTAATCTCCCCAGCTTAGCCATCGAACACATGCAGTTCTCTGCCTTAGATTAGGTGCGACAGCCCTGATGAAATTTGGGGCAGCATGTGAGATACCTCACGGGGAGATATATATGACCAAGCGGCCATTGGGCTGGTTCGTCACAGCATCTTTCCCAGGTTAACAGGAACCCCATCTTGGTGGTAGACATTCTGTTTGGGATATGTGCTCTGGCGTACTTCACCTGACAGGTAAGTATACTAGGGCTAGTAATGATTATAATTTTCGTGTTCGATTAATCGAAAACAATTTGAATCTATTAATTTCGATTAATTATAACACACATACAGAATTCTTGTCTAAGCAACAATGGTAATGGGGACAGGGCCACACAAAGAAATTTAAAAAAATATTGCTCATGTAAGAGCCATATCATTGTTGTGGATGGACTAGGTCCATCATGTTGGTGTACCGAAGGGCAAGATGAGATGCCTTTAGTTGATTACAAACAGGATTGCTGCACAGTAGGGTCCATGTTTTATTAAAAACCATTATAAGTCAGTAACAGATATATTTGGAATTGGAGAGTTGGGTAGCTGCTTACAAAGATCGATACAATAGATTTTATAGTATCTGGGCCACCTGGCTATTACGTTTCCCTGGGTCTAAGACCCCCCAGGGCAGATAATGCTCATTCCCTGCATGTACAAAATTAGATTTTTAGTTCTGTTAGAAGTTAGGTAGCGAATCTCCGCAAAATACTTAGCGACTCTACAAGTGATTGTTGCATGTCAGCAAGGAACAAAAGCATGTCATCTGCATATAAAGCCACTTTTTCCTCCAGCCCACCTACTCTAAGACCCTGGATCCCCGCGGACTGGCAGACGCAATGGGTTCTATCGCCAAGGCAAACAGTCCAGGGGATAACGGGCATCCCTGCCGCGTACACCTAAGGATCGGAAAACTCGAGGACAGCCCCCCCCGCCCCCATCTTTATGGCGCCTCTAGGCTGGCTATACTACACCGTGATCCACTTGAGGAAGACAGGGCCAAATCCCAACTTTATCAGAATCGTTTGCAAATACCTTCAGTCTACCAAATCGAAGGCCTTCTCGAGGTCCAGGGAGACGATAGCTCTGGCACCCGGGTTATCATGTATAATTTGGGTGTGCATAAATAGTCTTCTAAGATTAATGTCCGTATACTTTTGGGGGATAAATCCGGTTTGGTCTGGGGCGACAACACTGGCAATAACTCTGGACAGTCTAGTGGCAAGAATTTTTGTAGGAATCTTAAGATCCATGTTAAGGAGCGAAATTGGTCTATAGGATGAGCATAAAAGCGGGTCTTTATTTGGTTTGGCTAGGAGAACCAGGTGAGCATCATACATGGATTGGGGGAGGACCTCTGCATTCAAACAGGCCTCGTATAGGCTCATTAGTCTGGGCACCATATTTTCAGCGTATTGTTTGTACCATTCCGCTGGAAACCCGTCTGGGCCCGGGCATTTGTTATTTGGGAAGGAACCAATAGCCCCCAAGACCTCTTGCTCCGTGAAGGTACCCTCCAAAAACTCTATGTCAGCATGGGTCAGCTGGGGCATGTCTACCGAGTCCAAAAGTGCGCCCAGAAAAGCTACGTCATACTCGGGCAGTTGTTGGTATAGAGCCTTGTAGAAGGCGACAAACTCTTGGAGGATATCTCCCGGATCAGTTTTCAATGAACCATCTGAGGCTCGAATACACAGGATCACAGTCTAGGACCTCTGGTCTGCTACCAGCATCGCCAGAAGTGTCACATTTTTTGTCACAATTCTCATGCAGAGCCTCCTTCTGCCTATTAGTAATCACCTGTGTTACAGATTCATGGTGGAGTAAGAGCTCTCTGCGGACCCCTAGCAAATCCTGAAGCGTGTCCGGGGACGGTGCCATCACATGAGCAGTAGCGGATTCGGCCTCCCTAGCTTGAAGCTGAGAGAGGTCGAACTGAGCAACCGACTTAGGGGAGTATGGGGCCAATTTTTCTAAAATGGTATAGAGCACCGTTCCCTGGAATGGGGGTGGAATATACACATTTACCAATGCAAAAGACTGTGATTGGTGTCCATCAGCACTACCACATATCTACCTTCAGGGTCAGTTATGACATGATTAATAGCACATGGAAAATTCTTGTGAAGTAGAATAGTCACCCCTCTTGCATAGGAGGAGTAAGTGGCATGAAACGCTCTCCCCATCCACCTCCTCTGCAATGCCAAAATCTTACTTCCCAACAGGTGGGTTTCCTGCAAAAAAACAACCTGCGGGTTATGAGATTGAAGAAACCGAAGGACCAAGGCCCTTTTAAATCTAGAGTTCAGTCCTCTGACATTCCATGAGATAATCTGTACATCAGCTGCCATTAAAGTGCGGGAAAGTCAAGAACCGCTGCGAGTCCTGGAGAATGTCGTGCACATTTGAAAGCATCCAGGTCCAGGGAAAGTCCCAATCGAGGCCATGGCGTATGAAGTGTAACTTCCCATTGAACACCCTGCTATCCCACATAACAACAAAACTAGTAGAGCAGCTTGAGATCCCAAAACTTGAAAAACTAGTCAGAGTATCACTCAATACTCAGAGGTAGGGCAGTCTCGAAAAGTGCAAACAGCAACTAACTGAGGATATACATTACCGTACCGCTCCTGTAGCTGCACTGTAGTGTTTGCACTACAGTGCAAACAGCAACTAACTGAGGATATACATTACCGTACCGCTCCTGTAGCTCACTACAGGAGTAAGTACATCCTCAGCCATATGTCCCGGTATTCCATGTGGCCTTACATATAGTAGCGGTAAAGGGTTCCGGAGCATAGGGCCACAACAGATGATGACATCAGCCCATTTGTAAAAAGGATATCTCAGACTCTGGTGTTAAGGCACTGTATCCAGCCAGTCCGCGGCTGCAGCTGGGTCCTCAAAGAATTTAGTTGAGACGGCAAACTGTACTCTCAGTCTGCTAGGATAAAGCATACCGTATTTCAGGCACTTGTCACGAAGCCGGCGACGGACATCTATGAAGGAGCGTCGTTTTTTCTGTAAATCTGGTGAGAAATCAGGAAACAGCATAATGGTGGCATTCTTAAAGCGGAGTTCTGACTCTCTCTTCTGAGCAGTTGTCAGAATCAGATCTCTATCCCTGAAGTTATGGAGACGAACCAGGAAGGGTCTGGGGGGTGAGCCCAGGGGCCTTTGGCCTAGGGGAACGCTATGTGCACGCCCACTATATAGGCCACAGAGACCGATTGTAAATCCAGGAGGTCCTTAAAAAACGTCTCTGCGAAGGATGTAGGATCCGAGCGCCTTCAGCCCCCTCAGGGAGGCCCACAACCCTCACATTGTTGCGTCTCAAACGATTTTCCGCATCATCTGACTGTGCAGTCAGCTGCGCCACCGCACGCTGCAGGCTGCGGATGGTTTGGGAATGTTCCCCCGAAATGTCTTCCAAGGTCCCCACCCGGGTCTCCACTTCCGTCACCTGGCCCCGGATTTTATCCAAATCCTGCTGGATTAGGCCGCACTCAGTAGCTAGGGTGTCCATCCTGGCAATTAAGGTGGTCTTACTGGCCTCTATGGTGGCCAGGATGGCATCCGTGGCACCAGGGGGTTCTGTGCCTGTAGGAGGAGAGGGGCTGCTATGACCTGCCTGTCCCGAGGCCGGCTCCATGTAGTCCCACCCTGCCGTCTGAGTGCTGGCGCTGGTGAGAGAGAGCAGGAGAGGGAGAGAGAGCGTGCAGCAGAGATGGCGCTGGCACGTGTGACAGGAGAAGGGCCCGGAGTCTCACCGCTCACTCGGGACCGCACCGATCTTCGTTTCGATCGCATGGGGAGGACGTCCACTGTCACCGGAAACCCTGCCAGGAGAAGCTGAGTAAGGAACCACTGATGGCACCACTGGAGATCAGGATGGCTGAACGGATGAGAGGAGCTGCAGCTAAGCACGTCTGTTCAGTCTCACATCCTGGCCACGCCCCCTCAGAATATTTATTTATTACATTTTTAAAACAATACAAAGAGGATGAGCAATATAAAAAGAACAAGAAAAGTCACACAATTTTCTTTTGTCATGTAGTTTACATGAACTGTAATCGGATAAAACAATGGATGAAAATGAGGAGTAATACAGAAACATTTTTGCAACATCGTGTTTCTAAAGAATCTACAGGAAATAGATGGAAAGGCACATGGTAGTATACGAATTGCCACACATCTAATAGGGAGGGCACAAAGCAAAACAACATTTACACATTTTATATTTAACTTCCTTAGCCTACATACATATAAGCGGAGAGGTTCTATAAAGGATGAATTATAGAAATGTGATATGTATTATACAGGAGTAACATCCAGAAAGAAGAACAGAAGAAGTGGAAGAAAAGGTAGTAAAGTGAATAAAAGGAAAGAAAGGACATAAACATAAAAAATATACATCAAAAGGAAAGTATAGGTAAGAACAGGATAGAGTTTAAGTTAAAAGAAATTAGTTGAAGGGGACACCCCCAGACAGTCTCCCATTATGGATAAAGTACGAATTCTCTTTTCTAGCCCAAGGTCTCTGATCAAGCGGTAAGTTACAGAACTCTACCAAATAGTAACATGTTTATTTCACTCATGTTCTTAAAAATAGTTCATCTGCAGTTGTCGAAAAAACATCCTACTGTAAAAAAAAGCAAAGCATGAAAAACAGACCCAAAAATGTTAAGATTTTATTTACAAAGTTTTTGTTTTTTTTTCCTTTTTGCCGTTTGTTGTACAGAAAGTAAAAATGGTGCTCCAATGTCTATTCAATAGGTAGCCATTGACAATCATGACTCACCAATCACACCCTCAGCTTGTTAACCCTTACGAACCCCAACTTAATAGTAAAAGCATTGACCCAGTTTGCTTAGCTGGACATTTTGAGAATATATATATTTTTTAATCTCTGTATATATATAGAATTTTTTTGTTTTTTCTACTTTTTGAGACTTAATTATAAACCATGGTGTAAGCTTCCAGTAGGGTTTATTGGCTGTAGGAATGTCACAGTAACGACTCTTTGGCTCTTTTTGGGTGTTCAGGGATAGGGCTTGTTTTCATTGTTACAATTTATTTGCAGCCTGTTTTTCAATAATCCATGAATGGGGCCAGTTCAATCAATACTGTATAATCCAATAAGGTCCTTTTTTTAAATTTATTTATTTATTTCAAATTTCCCAAATTAATCTAGTCTTCCTCTTCATCACCCTCATCGTCTGTATCTCTCTTCCTCTTCTCTCCTTTTCCAGTTTCTTCTTCTTCATCACCGTCCTCATCTTCATCTTCTTCCTCATCTTCTACTTCCTCAGGTCCCAAATCGTCCTCATCTCCGCTTGCGTCTTCATCCTCATCCTCTCCTACTTCTTCCTCTTCATCCTCATCTTCATCCTCATCTATATCTTCTTCCTTCATCCTTCGTCCTCATCATCGTCTTCATCTTCACCTTCTTCATCATCTTCCTCCTCCTCCACACCATCCCCGTCAGCTTCTGCATCTGAGTCTGGGGCTTCTTTATCATCTTTGTCATACCCATCCAGATAAGTCAGCTGAGGAAGGAGCTTGAATACACTTTCTCTGTAGTCATTAAGATTTGTTACTTCACAGTTGAATAGATCAAGACTCTTTAGATGCTCCAATTTTTTCAAAGGTTCCAAGGTGCTAATATCTTTTAATTTATTTCCACTGAGGTTTAGATGTGTGAGGTTTGGGAGCTTCTCTGCTAATACATCTAGACCTCCAGAAATCCTGTTGTCGCTCAGTTCAAGCTTTTTTAACTTGGGTAGTTTTGGAAGATTTGAAACTGACATCAACATAACATTTATAAGGCTTAGAAACTCAAGATTGACAAACTCTCCTGTTAGTCCCTCGATTTTGCCTTCTTTTGCCCTGCAGTTGTCCAAAACTAGTTCCCGTACATCAGACGGCGTCCTGTTCCTCAGCTCCAGGTGGATTCGTTTTTTCATTTCCATCGTCTCCCCGTCTATAGATCTGAGCGATGTATTCGTCTGGGGCTCCTAGCTCCGGCTTTCTTTTTTTTTTTTTTCTAACCGAGAAATAAAAGTTTGAAAGGGGGGGGGCAGGCTGCACACTGCTCTGCTAGCAAATAAAAAAAAAAAAAAAGGAAGAGAGCAGCTCGAGGTGTCCTTAAAGGAGAAAATGAGCGCTCCGTGTATAGGAAAACGTGTGGAAGCTGCTCACACCGAACGCTAAGTTACTCACAAGAGCGAGGAGGAGAAACCATCTCCTCCTACAGAACTCTAATGAAACTTATTTTAGAGGCCTATACTGAAGGGGTTTTGCTACATAAGGATTTACAGTATCTGTATAGGTTTGTGTATTAAACGTTCCCAACGAGCCCAGGTATGCCTGTATGTAGAGATATTGTCCTGGTTAATATGTATTAGTTCTTCCATTTTAGAGACATGGTCAATACATCAAGACCAGTCATGTAAGTCAGGAGTGGTGGATGAAAACTCCTGACTTTGCTGCATTCAGTAAATGAATGGGAAGATACTTTTTATATTTCGAAAGGGTACGCCAGAAAGGTGTAAACGATAGCAATCTGGGCTAAAGGGTGTTTGTTCACCAGTGATGAGTTCTAGGAGACTAGAACTCCTTCCAACTAAAAGTCGTGTTCTAACGAAACCCAATTGTTTGAAGTGTGAATATTCCAATTAGCCTAGTTAAATTGCATGCCTGCTAATACCGCTTTACATTCGAGAAGCCTATGCCACCCAGGTGCTTCAGTAGACCAAGGTATGAGTGCTTACATGCGGAGATTTTTGGTCCAAAGAAAAGTCCGAAAAACAGATTGCATTGAGGTAAAGAACAAGCGAGAGTCTGGATCAGCATTGTCTGAAAGAGGTATAGCAATCTAGTTAAAATATTAATTTTTAGAATTGCAGCCCTGCCGAACCATAAGAAATGGGTTCTATCATTAGGTCTGATCTTATAGTATTGAGTAAACAAGTAAAGACCCTGAAGATGACTAGTGAAATAGATACCTAAATACTTAATCTCCACGGAAAGTCGCTTTTACAAAGGTCAACTATAGTGGTTGTAAGGAAGACATTGAGGGCAAATGATTTGGAAGAGTTGATTTTGAAGTTCGATAGCAAATAAAAATCTCTAAAATCTTTCAACAAAGCGAGATTAAAGGTTGGGTCAACGTAAAGTGTAAGTAATTGGCAAAAGCCAATACTTTAAATTCCTTGCTAGATGTGGTTATATCTTGTATGTCTGGAGATGCACGTATCATGTTTAAAAACGGTTCCAGTGAGATGATGAATAATAGGGGGGATAGAGGGCACCCCTGCCTAATGCCATTTTGAATATTAAAAGGTAAGGAGAGGTGGCCATTCACTCGGACTCTAGCTTTCGGGGTTGAATATAGTGATTGAATGTATAATTCTTTGTTTCAGACCTACGTGGCATAATACTGCATACATATAATCCCATGCTACTCTATTGAAAGCCTTTTCTGTGTCTGTGGAGAGAAAAAACTAGGAGTCTTTGTGCTGCCACAATAGTTGTGTAAAATATAGCCACAGTTAATATTCACTTTAATGTAAGATGAGAATTTATATACTGTATTTGCTGGCGTATAAGACTACTTTTTATACTTAAAAACATCCCCCTAAAATCGGGGGTTGTCTTATACGCGGGGTATACGATGTATACCTTTAGTTCGTTTGCGGCAAGCTGGCCCAAAACGAACATCACTAATCTGTCAGCCCGCTGGATGTGCTGTAATATTGTATGTACTGTAGCTTCGGCTACATACAGTATACCGCGCTGAGCCAATCACGGCGAGCGATGTACACAACCTCTACCAATCCAAGCATGCTTTGTATTCATTAATAGAATAAATTGCTCGCCGTGATATGGCTCAGCGCTTTATACTGTATGTAGCCAAAGCTACCGTACATACAGTATTACCGCACATCCATCCATGATGTTTTTAAATGGTGTTGTCTCAGAAGTGGGGTAGTCTTATATGACGAGTATAGCCCAAAACCTATGTTTTAAGTGGAAAATTAGGGGGTCATCTTATACACCCAGTCGCCTTATACGCCGGCAAATACGGTAGTTTATTTTCCTTAAGCCATTTTTCTATGGATATTGTATGGCTAAGTTCATATACTGACATCTAGTGGTAATTCTAGTTATTGCAATTGGTTATTGCACGTTTTCTGTGTTCCCTCCCATCTATGATTTATTTCCCTTTCTTGCTCAGCGTGGAGTGTCATGGCTGCTTCTAACAGGACCACATGACCCTGCATTGCATGTTTGGAAACATTATCATCTTTGACCGCCTTAAATACCATCAATTCATTAATCTGCTTTATCCTGTTGTCTGCTATAGCGTGATGCATGGAATAAAGCACCTTTGTGGACGAAAAGGTATTTGGTGAGTTCAGCTATCTGATAAGGATTGTCAGGGGCGTGGACGGGATGTGATGGGGACAAGACGTGTGTGTGTGAGCTCTGGCGCCCTTACATTGTTCCATCCGCTGTCATCCATCCTGATAGGGGACATTTCTGCCGACTTACTTGTTGAAGAAGCAGGACTTGGTTGCCGCTGTAGTATGCCCTCGGAATCGGGCAAGAAATCCTCCACGCCGAGACAGCAGCTCCGCAGCCGCAGGCGGTACATGTGTCACTCACCGGCCATCTTGCCCGAATCTCCTACTGCACGCTGGACTTTGGTGAGTGAGCAGGCTGCAAACATGGATGGGGAATTACTGGGGGATCAGGGGGGGGGGGGCTGGCCCCATCGCCCCCACGGGATTACAAACTGAGACTATACTGACTGCCATAGAGGCGAGTAGGGTGGCGCTCACAACGAAAATTGACCACCTTGCGGTCGATTGCACCCTCATTCGCGGGGATCTTGACAAAATCCTTTCTGAGGATGAGACCAGAGTGTCAGGTTTGGAAGACACGGTGACTGAGCACCCTGCCTCCATTACTGAATTACAATGTATGGTGCACACATTATCCACCAGAGCGGAGGATGCTGAGAATAGGATGCGCAGAACTAACATCCGCATTATAGGCCTGCTTGAGGGAGCAGAGGGAGCACGGCCGGTGCAGTTTGCTGAATCCCTATTCAAGAAGGTGCTGGGTGTGGAGGAGACCCCGGCCACTTTTGTTGTGGAAAGGGAGCACAGGGTGCCTGCGGGTCGCCCCCCCTCCAGTGGCCCCACCGAGACCCTTTCTGACCAGATTGCTGAACTACAGGGACAGAGACTCTGTGCTGGCTGCAGCCCGGAATTCTCCTGTTTTGCATCATGAGAACACTGTGATCCGGCTATTCCTGGATTTCTCGGCAGATGTGCAGAAGCGCAGACGTTCCTTCCATGATGTCAGACTCCGCCTCAGGGTCAAAGGATTGCAATACAGTATGCTATTCCCCAGTAAACTGAGGGTTCAACATGAAGGCACGGTTCAGTTTTTTTAAAATCCTGCTGCAGCGGTGAGCTGGCTGGACAGGCTGCACTGGTGATGTACTGCTGGCTTGCCTTCCCGCCTACATCCTTGCCTGGATGTCATCGAGAGTGACTGCCTTTTCCTGACTGTGGCTTTTGGCTGTTAGTCCTCCTCTCTCAGACCGGGGGAGGATGGGTGTATGGTCACCATGTGCGGGTGGCATAACAATCACCATAGCGACACTGGCGGCCGCTATGGGGCCCGAGGTACTACCATGGAGAATCTATGGTGGGCTCTGCAGGGTCACCCTTAGGTGGGCTGTTTGGGTTATCAGGTGGGCGTAACTAGAAATCACAGGGCCGCATACAAAATTTTGCTATGGGGCCCTGTGATTTCTAGTTACGCCCCTGACCATGTGCCTTATCCTTGTATATGCTTCCTTCGTGTTCTACAGTTTATTTCATGTCTCATGGTTTGAGTTATTTCTTACTGCCTTAATCCTAATGCTGAAAAGTCTGTATTGCTCTGTACTGGGTCCCATTATGCACTTTCGGTAAGGTGCGGGTAAACCGGAGTCCCAAATCCCATATCCTGCCCCTAGGTGATGGCACCATGAGCTCGGCAGATGGATCAGTCCCTCTACAGTGGGTCTCACAGATCGCATACCTTGAAATTAAGATCTCGACTAGGGTGGGTGACTACCACTCCCTGAATCTGGCCCCGGCCCTTGCACAGGTTAAGGGGAGGCTGCTGGCGTGGAAGCACTTGCCAATTTCTATGATAGGGAAGGTTAATCTGCTTAAAATGAAGGTTCTCCCGGTGTTGTTGTATTTCCTGCGCAACTCCCCGGTCTGGGTGCCTGCAAGTTTTTTCCGCGGACAGCAGGGAGCTCGAAGGCAGCAGCCCCCCACCGCCAGCCTGAGTTACCATCAACACCCAGGAAAGGAACAGCGAGCCACCGCCGGCCCGAGTCACCATCTCTGATAGGCAACCAGAACCATTAACAAAAAATATTTTTTAAAAACCCCAACCACCATGAGCAGCGACGTGGAAACACAGCAGCAGCAGCCAGCCGCCTTGGAGAACAAGTCTGATCCGAAACCGGCGCCCTCCGTGGGGGAAAAGAAGGTCATCGCAACCAAGGTTTTGGGCACTGTCAAATGGTTTACCAGCGTAATGGATATGGATTTATTAACAGGAATTACACCAAGGAAGATGTGTTTGTACACCAGACTGCCATTATGAAGAAGAGGGAAATGAGGAAGACAAAGAGAATCAGGGTGAAGGAACCCAGAGTCAGCAGCCACCTCAACGCCGGTACCGCCGCAACTTCAACTACAGACGCAGACGCCCAGAAAACCCTAAACCACAAGATGGTAAAGATACAAAGGCAGCTGAAACATCAGCAGAAAACACGTCCGCTCCCGAGGCTGAGCAAAATACCGGCTTACCACCTCTACCACCATCCGGGTTAGTGTCCTGATGAGCACTCGTCATTCCCTATACAGGAGACTGCAGTTCTTGAAGAAAAAAAACTTTTAGTACATTTTACTTCTATG